CCCTCCCCTGCCCTTGGCGGGGGGGGGGGGGCTGCCCCCGACCCCACGGACCCCCCCCTGCCTCTGCCTCCCGAGTGCTGGGATTAAAGGCGTGCCCCACCACCGCCTGGCGAGTCCTTGCTTTTACTTATTAGGTATAATAATGCAAGACTATTACTCTGCCTTTAAAAGAAACGAAATTCTGAGCTGGCAAGATAACTCAGCAGGCAAAGTGCTTGCAGCCAACTCTGACCATCTTAGTTCCATCACCGAGAACCACATACCAGAAAGAGAACCGACTTACACAAGTTGGCCCTGTGGCCTCCATACAGTCTCTCGCACAAAAATAAATGTAATTACCAGGCAGTGGTGGCTCACGCCTTTAATCCCAGCACTCGGGAGGCAGAGGCAGGCAGATCTCTGTGGGTTCGAGACCAGCCTGGTCTACAAGAGCTAGTTCCAGGACAGCTTCCAAAGACACAGAGAAACCCTGTCTCAAAAAACAAACAAAAAAAAATGTAAATAAAATGTAAGTGATGAAATCCTAGTATCTGTGACATTAAAGAGAAACTTTGAAAACATTATGCAAGGTAAAATAATACATCAGATCCATCAGACACATGCAGAGAACAAGTAAAACAGCCCTTGGGGTGGGAGCTGGGAGGAGCGAAGGAGGGGCACGAAATCAGCAAATAGGGGTGGAGCTTCCATTCAAAACAATGAAGCAGTTAGAGAAATGCACAGTCGGATTGGATTTACAATAAAATGTATGTAGGAGACTGTTGGGAACGCAAAGGTCCTTGTGCCCACAGAGCAATAGGAAAACCAGGAATGTTAAACACAGAGGGACTTCTTCTCAATGGAAGAAATAAAAACACCCATTTCCCTGCCCAGAAGACTGGGAGTGAATTATTATTTGTTTGTTTTTTTTGTTTTTTCAAGACAGGGTTTCTCCGTGTAGCCATGGCAATCCTGGAACTTGCTCTGTAGACCAGGCTGGCCTCAAACTCAGAGATCTGCCTGCCTCTGCCCCCTAGAGCTGGAATTAAAGGTGTGTATCACCACCACCCAGAAATATAGTTTTTATTGTGTTTTGTTTTGTCAATCATACTCTTCATCTAATGGTATTTTAATATTTAACAGCAATAAAGGATGGAACATTACAGTAGGAAATACTTAAAATACACTAAAATGTTTCACTACACCTTCTTATTATATTGTCTTGTCAGTGCAGAAGAAAGGCTGGACAGGGAAATTGATGGTTCCAGAAGGAAACTTGTATATGAGGGAACGCCTGGCAACATCCAGGAAACTTAAACATCCATGTCACAATCAAGGAGCACACCAACCCGGCCCACTGGCTTCTCTATACAGAGATGGATAACTGGCCATGATGTGAGGAAATTGCAATGTTTGCCCTCCTTCACACATGCAAGAAGTATAAGCATACATCCAACACATAGGTTTGTCTTCCTAAATGAGGAATCTATACAGACTCCTACAGCGCAGTCCAAAGAGTCCCTCACCACCACCTCCCGGTAATATTTCCATGAGATACCTCCCTGTGATCCCCAGAAGACTGTATAGCATCCAGGAAGATCAACAGATGGACCCTGGAGGTGAGGTCTGAAGCTGACTCTTCTCATGAAATTAAATAAGGTTGTCTTGCAAGTGGTGGCATTTTTTTCTGGAAACAAAACTTGTCCTTGGAAGGACTGGAAACTTTCAGTCAGTCCAGTGATGGGTAAGGCACTGAGCTCTGGTTCCACAGCCTGGGGCATGCTAAGCTGCATTGACTCACTCCTTTGTAACATGCCATCAAAACCCTGTCAGAATTAACACCCAACTTCTCAATGGAAATTGTGAAATGCAGGAGGTCCTGGACAGATGTGCTGTAGACCCCGAGAGACCACGGATCCTATTCCTCATACTGGATTGTCTTGCCCAGCTTTAATACAAAGGAAGGGTCTTAGTCTTAGTGCAACTTTTGTTTTTCCTGTCTTTTTTTTTTTATTTAAATTAGAGTCAAGCTTGCTTCACATGTTAATCCCAGCTCCATCTCCTGCCCCTAAACTTGCTTCACATGTTAATCCCAGTGCCATCTCCTGCCCCTCCCCCGCCAGTTTTATTGCAACTTGATATGCCATGTTTTGTTGATATCCCCAGAAATATAGTTTTAAAGTTTAATTTTTAATTATATTTTTATTTTCTTTATTATTTTGTGTACCTATGTAAGATATGTGTGCATGAGTTCGGGTCAGAGGACAACTTTAGGGAGTCATTTGTTTCTTTCCACTGTGGAATCTCGGTATCAATCTCAGGCTTTTGGCTTACGAGATGAGTCATCTTAATGGCCCAAAAAATATGAAACAGTTGAGAGCTTGGGAGACAGCTCAGGTGGTAAAGTACCTGCCGAACAAGCATGAGGACTTGGGTTCAGATCCCCAGGAGCCAACTAAAAAGAACGGGGCACACTGTAATGCCAGTTTGGGGGAGGCAGAGGCAGGTGGATTCCCACCCCCACCCCCAATAAGGTGGGGAATGGTTGAGGAAGATATCCACATTGACCTCTAACCCATATACAAACACACTCAAGTGCACGAGAATCTGTGAGCACAAGAGCACACACCCACGTGAATAGGTCATACATCACACAGAAAATTTAAATTAAATTTTAAAAAACACAAAAATTGATGCTTTCTTGCCCCTTTTCCATCATTCTTATTAGATGCTTTTTAACGATCTGATAAAAATCATTGGAGCATGGAATGATAAGCCTCAATTCCCCATAAACCCTAATTGTAAGTTTAATACACTATTTTATTAGCAAGAGTTGAATTAAATAGTAGCTATAAATGTTTAATAAAGAAGTGGCCAACAATCTGAGTAATAAATGGAGTGAACAGTTAACCAAGAATTACTGAATTATTTCAAAACTTTTTTCTAGGAAACTAGAATTCTTTTTCTTTAAATTTTACAGTGATATGGTATATATTTACTGCACATGAAACACAAAATTCTTCACTTTCTAATAATCTTAAGGTACAGCTTTGTAGCTTCAAGGTTATCAACCATAGACATCACTTCAGGAACATGCTGATTTCAGTAATTATTCTCTTTCTTTTTCCCTTTTTAAAATTTTTTAAACATTTAATTTACTTTTATTATGGGGGAACTGTGTGTGTGTGTGTGTGTGTGTGTGTGTGTGTGTGTGTGTGTGTGAGTGTGTGTGTGTGTGTGAGGTAAGAGGAGGGCATTGGATCCTGTGGAATTGGAGTTACAGAGCCACCGTGTGGGTGCTGGCAATTGAACCTGGATCCCTCTGGAAGAGCAGCCAGTGCTCTCAACCACTGAGCCATTTCTCTAGTCCCAATTACTTTCTTACATTGATTTAAAAATACAAGCCTGTGGTAGGATTGGGCCCCAGTTAGTGGAACTTCTTTGGTTAGAAGTCCGAAGTGTGGCCTTACCGTAGTGAAGGAGATGTGTCACTGGGGGTGGGCTGTGAGGTTTCAAAAGCCCATGGCATGCTTGGTCTCTCTCTCTCTCTCTCTCTCTCTCTCTCTCTCTCTCTCTCTCTCTCTCTCTCTCTCTCTCTCTCTCTCTCTCTCTCTCTCTCTCTCTCTCTCTCTCTCTCTCTCTCTCTCTCTCTCTCTCTCTTTCTTACCCTCTCTCTCCCTCCTTCTCCTCCTCCTCCTCCTCCTCCTCCTCCTCCTCCTCCTCCTTCTTCTGTGTTACCTTCCATTCTCCAGCTTTTTCTTAGGCTGAGGGCCAAGGAAAAACTTTCTAGTCTAGAAGCTTTAGAATTTCACAAGTAAGCCAGACATGACGTCACAGAATTATAATCCCAGCATTTAGGATGCAAAGGTCAGAGGAAGTCCTCACTTCATGGTGAAGGAACCGGCTTCCCTTTTGGCAGCCATAACAGCCGAACATGTGCTTGGCATATACCTGCCTTGGTCACTTAGAGGTCAGATGCCTGTCTTGTGACAAGGAACCAATCAGAAGTTAGCTGGTGGCGCTATGCTTTACGACCCTGGGTGTGCT